CCGTGTAAGGAAATAGATTTACTTAAAACCCTGACTCTGTCACTAACAGCTTTGATGGAAATATCCCATATTCCACAGTACGTGCTAAACAACTTTTAGAGCAAGAAATGTATAACGGAGCTTAATTTTATTCCAGTTTGAACACAGTGGAGGGTGGAACAGGGAAGAAATGTGATAATTTGACCGACTGTGGTTTTGACTGTCTCAGCAGTTTGTGCTGCTCTTTTTTTCCAGCAGACTACTTGCAACGGCCGTTTTAATACTTCAGCAATCGTATATTAGAGTTTTGTTTAGCAGCAGAGCCTTACATCTAGCGCAGCTCACTGCAAGGGGAAAAACACATGCAGCTCATTTTAATGAAAAACAAAATTAGCATTCAGTTTCGTAAAACTAAATGCTAGTACTTTCTAAATAAATAAGGCATTTCCACCCATTTTTCATTAACAACTATGCTGAAGATTTCCTATAATAAAAAAAAAACCTAAAGCAAAACCCAAACCTGAGTCAAATCTAGCTTTTGGAAAAAATTTCCTGCACATTTTTGATCCATTTCTGGCAGGCAAAAGGGCAGAAGGAGCCCTAAAATCTCTGTATTCATAAGAGAAATTTTCTCCAGCAAAGGTACCAACAGACGGGTTTAAGACAGGCAGCCAAGAAGGGCTGTTTGTAACGAGGCTCAAAGCTGTTTGAGCTGGAAACACTGCAGAAATTTAGAGGCTGGAAATATTTTTAAGCCATTCTAGTCCATCCATTGGTTTGGCTGAGTGGCCGGTGTTGCAAAAGTAAGCGTGACCGCTTGCCTCCTCAGTCTATAGGGGTTTAGTGCACTTGGACTACTGTGTCCTCCTCTGACAAAAGGTTTTGTATAGACAGTGCCAGGCATTAATTACAGTAATTTGTCGTTAGCCTTGTTTCCTGAGGAAATAAGGCTCATACACTTGCATTGTCCGTTTGGGTGGACATCTGTCCCCCTTAACAACTTCTGAGCTGATGGGTAATTTCAACCACAATCGAAAGAACTAAAAAAACTCACAGATGTTATGTTCTTACAAATTCCATGAATACTGCTGGCCGGGTAAAGGCAAGGGGAAAACAATCTGTAGTTCCCCAAGGGAGAGAGGTAGAATTCAGCCATAACCTTCATCATAGCAGAAGCTGGCTCTGCCAAAGAATGTGCCGCCTTTTGCCTAGCAGAAGTGAAATAAAAGGGATGAGGGCAAGTAATTGAAATGGCAATATAAAGGAAATGAGACCTAAGCCTGCAGAAAGACAGACTCAAAGTTTTGTTGCTCATGGAAAAACCTCCTTTCTTATATTTGATGATATGATATGATATGATGATATTTGATAACAAAGCTGTCAAATACTACTAAGCCATCAAATAAAATGATTGATTAAACTTCCTTCAGCTGGTTCCTTTGCTTACAGGTGCCTCACACACATGGATTTTACCAGGAATTCATTATTAATTTCCTATGAAATTGACCGGTTTGTTATAAACCATCAGGTTTATAATAGTTCACTAGTGATCACAGGGTAGCTAACAAGATCACCCCTCCATTCCTTAACAGAATTTCTAAGTACATTTCTCTTGGATCACTGATTTCTTTAGGTATTAATGTTTCATTCATTAAATGAATACTGTATCAAATGTTGTTATTCTCTGACTTCACAAAAAAGATCAGCATTTTATTTCAAGTATTATTCTGTGCTATTCACATTAAGCTGTTTAATCACTATGGTTTCCTGAGGACTGATTTATACTGACCAGTACTACAAAAATTCTCTGTGGAACTTAAAAGGAAAGTATGTGGTCTGAGCATTATACGTTTCTGCTTATCTTGTCACGGGTGTTACTAGGGATCCCCATACACATAATATTCTTTGCTCGATGTTTCTGCTTTACATACTAGTTTGGAGTCTCTGCTGAAGTTATGAATATGATACTGTGGAAGAGAGAGCAAAGCTAACGACATATTTACCGAGAGTAAAATGGACAGCATAAACCACACAACTGAGTTAATATTTAAAGAACAAGAATTTAATTTGGTATGCAACGTTACCCTAGGAGGATCTTTATTTTCAATGCTATACATGTGAAAATAAGAATGAGTAAGTGGCTCGTTATCTACATGTATAAAAATATAAACATCCTATCAAACATCTGCAAAGTCAGCCTTCATGTTATGCATCACTGAAAAGACCTATGCCTTAGCTTCTAATTAAAGACTGCCTTTGTTTTTTAAATAGCGCTCGCAAACGCTACTGCATTCATTCCTAAGTACATGAACTGGGAACAACAGCTGCTACAAAATGTATACAGGACTCCAGTACTGCGCCTTCAGATTTCTGTCCTTCTGCACGTCAATAGGTTAGCAGAGTCATCGCGTTTATTATCCGTTCTTTGAACACGCAGTAGAAGAGACCAGCAAAACTCAGTGACTTTGCCTTGGGCATTTTACCTTTTAAAAATTTTACTGCAATTACTCAGTAATGTGTCAGAAAAATATCATCTTCTGTGGCAAACCATCAAATGACTATTACATTTAGGGTACCATCATTTCAAGCCTAAATGTAATGACTTACCAGTACATGAAGGGACCCATTTCCTAATACTAATAACACTTAGGAGTTTTTAGCACAAACACAAAGATTAAAAACTCATTAGTTTATGTTTTTATTACATCCATTTTTACTTGAAATTCTGAGAATTTCCGTGTCTTCTGCCAGCAAATGGATAGGCAATCATTGCTCAAAATACAGGCAATCTTTGTTTTAGAGATGCATTCAGCCACCTGGAAGTTTAGTTATGATTCACATTCAAGCAAGTATGTAATCGATTTCAGTTCTACAAGCTGATATTCATATTCAGTTTTTCCATAGAAACAGGTATAGGAAACCAGTAAAACAACATTACCATATTATGTACATAGCGTAATATGTAAATGCTCAGCTAGATTTATTATGAAATTCTGTAGCACTAAAATGATTAAAAAACTAAATGATTCGTGTAAAATGTTTATATACTGTATATATATGTACACTAAATCACAAGTTCAATTTAAAACTGCCCCTATTCATAGCTCCTATGATGGATATAGTAAGCTAACAGCTTCTTAAAAAAAAGAAAGCTATCATCTAGAGCGAATTTGAACACTTTACTGAAAACTGATTTTATACAAAATCTTAAAAAACATACTTCAGAATTACTTAACAGAAACTAGAAAAAGACAGTCATTATTCTCGAGAATGGCATTGTAAAGACCTAGTAGCTGTGATCAATGTCCTTTCACTTGCGGTATAAATAAGTTAAGCACAAAGAAATCATCCCAGAGTAAGGCATAGGACAAACAGGTTTCATTCTGTCTTCGGGTGTATTGGCCTCTCACTCTATCTTATTGCTCATCTAATTTGGCAGGTTATACATTTCTCTCCTTTTAAAAATACTCCGTTATACAACTATCTACAACTGGACAACACCCAGCGCTTCCATATGCGCATCCTCAATTTAATCACATTGATAAACATCCTTGCTAATATTAAAAAAAAAAAAAAAGTAATAAACAAACCATGGCGATGCAAGTTATTTTCAGTTTTACACGGCTGTGCATGCACTTAATGAAAGACCAAGTGGTGAACACAGAGGCTGAGCACTGAAACTCAGCTCAATACATATGTAGCTGTAGCTGTTTTCAAAGGAATTAAGGTTTTAAAAATAAAACCCTACTGTGAAATTCTTTGGTTAGAATACGAGTGCTAGTAGCATTCCTAAATTTGGAGTTAGAACGATTTATTATTCAAGAGTTTTAAAAATGTAACTTCAAGCCTTTAATACACACCGCTAAATTCTTCAAAACTTCTGATACGTTTAGGGTAGTTTTCCATGAAGGTCTGAGTGGACAACACAGGTTTTTAAAACAAGTTCAGGTTTTAAGGGAAAGTGCTTTCGTACCCCAACCTTCACAAATTTATCAGAAAGAGCTGCTCAATCTGCCCTACTGTAAAACCTGCTACTCGGATCTTTCGTTCCAAAGCAAGCGACGGCTGCCTCCTCCGGGAAAGAAATGCTGTTAGACACCACGGACCAAATACAGCTTAGAAGGGGTAATTTCTCCTGAAGAAAGCTGGCGTCGTTCTTGTGTTTGTAAGGACTGGGCTTAATACTTTCTAAGAAGCGCTAAGCTTGCCTAGGAAGAGGTACTTAACTCTCAGCAGTGTCACTGCTCTGGTAGCACTACCATGAAAACCAAGAAACTGGTTCTTCAAATAAGTGGTTTCAGCTTCAATTCTGTCGGCTTCATAGTTTTACAGCACTAACATGGCAGAACTTAAAATAACAAGCAGGGTGCTCTTGATTACACTGATAATGCATTATTTCAACGTACACGACTTCAGCTCCCCAGGCAGCAGGCCCTACCTTCACTCTGGCAAGCCTGGCTGCTTCTCGCCCCCCCTTTTTTTGAGGGTGTTTAAGGAAATACGCACAGAGATTTCTATGCATATTATAGACAGTAACTTCAAAAGAATTATAAGGACTTCACACCACCCATGAAAGTTACGATTCACAAGCACTTTAATTTTTCATAGCGTAGTTGCTTTACCTCTTGAGGGAATAAACACGTGTCTCTGAGGACACTTCATAGTTCAAGTGGTTGGTTATCCAGGGAACCTGTCCTTTCACATCAGCCTTACGTGCCTGCTGTGTGGGCCCTGGTCCAGTTTAACAACTTGGAGAAGGACATTCAGAGAGATAGGGAGCAGAGAAGGGCAAACGGGTGCAACCCATCATGAAGGGCCGCAGGCACACCTCCTGCAAAACTACTCATCTCTACACAAAAGTATGAGCCGGAGTGCCAACCCCTCGCCAGTTTAACAACTTGGAGAAGGACATTCAGAGAGATAGGGAGCAGAGAAGGGCAAACGGGTGCAACCCATCATGAAGGGCCGCAGGCACACCTCCTGCAAAACTACTCATCTCTACACAAAAGTATGAGCCGGAGTGCCAGGCATCGCTTCCAGGGGACAGTCCTTCACAGAGAGGCATTGCTTTGAGGGGACGGGGGGGATAAAAGGGACCCTTACAGATCCACCCAACGAGGCTGAATCTTGGGGAAGAGTATGGGGATGAAAGAGTATGGGGATGAGAAAAGACAGCCATTTACCATGCCATCTTCAACAGAAGTTGCTGAAAAGCAACCGAAAAGTCCCGCAGCCCCTAAATGGGTGGCTTTTAAAACAGCCCACCCTGAGAGGGCCATCCCTTGGCTTCTGTGCGTGGAGAGGGGCAGGGGTTGGGCACACACGCCGCCTTTCTGAGGCAGGTATTTGTCTACCCCCGCTACCTCTCTCCTTCCTGGCTACCGACACAGCTACTGGGAAGCGGGGGAGGCGGGGGATGATGGTGCGAGCCGGGATGCGGTGCCTGGGGAGGGACGTGGCAGCCAAGCAGGGACAAGGCGGCCGAGGCACGTCATGGTGACCTCCTGTCCCCGGGGCCACCAAGAGGTGCGTGCAGGAGGTGTGGGGGCTGCGCTGGGGGCTGACCAGCCTTGTGCGTGGAGGCAGGCACTGGGACGAAGAGAGCGCAAGAGGACAAGTCCCCCTCCACATCCTCCTTCCTCCGGGCCAGGAGGGCGTGCGGGGGCCACCACCTTATCCCCACGCCGTGTCCCGGGCGGGGGGGCTCAGTCCCGGCAGAAGACGTACTCGGTGTAGCTGGTCCAGATCTTGTCGTCGGCGGGGCCGCCCTGCTCGGGGGCGAAGGCGCAGGTGCCGGTGGAGGAGCAGGCGGCCATACGGAAGCCGGCCTCGGAGAGCCGGTCGAAGGCTTGCTCCAGGTAGGTGAACTTGAGGTAGAAGCGGGAGGTGTACTTCTCGGGGGGGCGGTCGGGGTCGCGGCTCTCATTCAGCGTCTCCCCGAAGACCTCCTTGGCCAGCGCCGTCTTGCCGCAGACGGTGATGCGGGCCACCCGTCGGAACTTGGCGTCGGCCTGCGCCTCCCGCCCGATGGTGTAGGAGCCCCGGTAGCCGATGGTGATGTAGCCCGAGCGCCGCCCGCCCGCCCCGTCCAGCGACTGCGAGGGGGTGAGCAGCGGCCCGCCCGAGGGGCTGCGGCTGGCGGTGGGCGACGGGGCGGAGGCGGCGGCTCCCCCGCCGCCCCCTTCCAGCGGCTCGGCCTCCAGGTAGCCCAGGAGCGCCGGCGGCGGCGGCTCGTCGGCGCAGAGCGAGCCGTCGCGGTGCAGGGCGGCGGGGCGAGCGGCGGCGGCGACCCGGGCCTGAGCCAGGCGACGAGCCAGGTCGGGCAGCTGGAAGTACTCGGCTTCCCGCTGGAGGCGGCTGCGCTCGGGGAAGTGCTCGGGGAGCACCAGCTGCAGGTCCCGCAGGTAGTCCAGGATGTAGCGGAAAAGGAAGCCGTCGCGGTCGAGGAAGAAGCGGCCCTTGCTGTCCCGGGGCAGCTCGCTGGGCTGCTGCTGCGAGAACATGCGCCAGAGCAGCGAGTCCCGCACCGAGACCACGGTGCAGCGCCGCGTCACGTACACCTGCCCGCCCACGTTCAGCTCCACGATCTCCGGGAAGGACGACCAGCCGCCCGCCGCCGCCGCCGCCGCCCCGCTCCCCGCCGCCCCGCTCCCCGCCGCCGGCGAGACGCCGCCGCCGTTGGGCAGCCCGCGGGCGCTGTCCGCCAGGGCCATACCGGAGGGAGCCCGCCGCCGGCGGGGAGCTGCCGCCCTTCCTCCTCCTCTTTCCTCCTCCTCCTCCTCCGGCCGCCCGGGCTCCGGCGGGGCTCCGGCTCCGGAGCCTCCCGCCCCGTCTATCCCCCGGAGCCGCTCCGCTCCCCGCTGCCGGCCGGGCGCCTCCGTCGGGCTTGCGAGCGGAGAAGCCCCGGCGGCGGCGGCGGGGCCGTGGTTATGTAGCGGGGCCGCACCTCGCGGGAGGCGGGGGAGGCTGGCGGGAGGCAGAGCCGAGCGCACGGGGAGGGGAAGGGGACGGCCCTGCACTGACGCAGGGTCCCCCCCCCTCTTCGTCGTTAACTCACACACACT